TATCCATTCTGGCCACACAGTTGTACTTTTGGCTTGCTCAGAAGATTGCTCCTGGTCTTCCAGCCTCTCCAGATCTCTAGTACACTGGTCTCTTTATTTTCTCCCCATCTGACAGCCTTCTTGGTTTTGGCTTCCTCAGCCAGTGCAGTCTTTGATGAGCTTAAACTCTGGCTGAGCCCTCCTCAGAGCTCTGCCTGCCTGCCTCCCCCATGCCTGCCCCCAGGCTGAAAAATGCTGCTAGAGAAGGCACGAGGTTGGTGGCTGCTGCTTTTGTAAATCCATAGACAGCTAGTGCCATTTGGCCACTATACAGCCAGACAAATCTCCCAGGTTCCCCTCGCAGTTCCTCCCCCATTTTCACTCTATTTCAGACCTTCCCCACACTCCCCACTCCATCCTTGTTTTCAGAGAAGGACATTTTTACAGAGAAAATTGAGGCCATCAGTTTGGAGTTCCCTCAGCTTCCCACCACCTGGCATTTACACTCACACTTCTCTTTCTTCTTCCCTTTTAGGACAGTGGAAAAGGTGCTCTTCCTTCAGTCAAGGGCACTGTCCCATAAAGTACCCCTTTTCTCCTGCATATTTTCAGAGTCTTTCCTGTCCCCTTCCTTTCACATATAAACAAACTCAGGTCTTTGTTATCTTGAAAAGAAGCTCTGGACTCCATGCCCCTCTTGAGCTACTGTCTTCTCCCTGCCCACTCATACTTTCCTTTCCCCAAAGCCAAATTTCTTGAATTAAGTGTCCGCATCATCTGTTCTCTCCATTTTCTCACCCAGCCTTCACCTCACTCTGGTCAGCCTTTCCCACTTACAGTGGGGCTGAAATAATTCTAACCAAGGTCATGAATGCTAAGCCATTATTCACTAAAGGCTAATGTCCACTAAAGGTGGACATTTTTAGTACTTTTCTTGCTTGACTTCATGGCAGCCTTTACCTTGTTGACTCTGTTCCCTTTGAAGCTGTCTCTTGGCTTTTTTGACATTACACTTTTGAAGTTTCCCTTTCCTCTCTGGATGCTCCTTTGCCAACTTCTCTACTTGTCCTCACTCAGGACTTGTCCCTCAGTCTCTTCTTACTGTACACTCTCTTCGCAGAGGGTCTCACCTCCACCTCTCCAACCCACCCAGAGGGGATTGAATTATCAAAACTCTTGAATCTTTTCTATCCCTGACCTCTCATGTGAGCTGCAGGCTCATAGTGCCACTGCTTCTTGGACATTCCATGTGGATATTGTGTGAATATCTTAAAATCAGTTTGTCCAAAATACAGCTCATTTTGTTCCTCCAAAACTGCATTTCCTTCTCCCAGACTCACATCTAACATTTGCAGGGCTGTGGGCGAGAGCACAAATGGAGGCCCATATACTATATATCAGAGTAGTTAAAAGTTACCACTCAAACTAACTGTTACATTATGTTTTATTTCTCTTTTTTTTTTCTTTTTCTTTTGTTAGAGAGGAGACAGGGTCTCACTCTGTCATCCATGCTGGAGTACAGTCATCATAGCTCATTGCCGCCTCAAGCTTCTGAGCTCAAGCGATCCTCCTGCCTCAGCCTCCAGAGTAGCTGGGACTACAGATGCATGCCACCAGGCCTGGCTAATTTTTTTGTATTTTTTGTAGAGACAGGGTCTTATTGTGTTGCCCAGGCTGATCTTGAACTCCTGGCCTTAAGCCATCCTCCCACTTCAGCCTCCCAAGTGCTAGGATTACAGGCATGAGCCACTGTGCCCGGCCACATTCTATTTTCTTACTCTGACAAATAAACCTTTTTAACAACCTGGAAGGTCAGATTTGAATTTAGAATTCTTGTGCTCCCTGGAGTTCTGTGCCAGGATGTGGTAGCTTGGAGAGAGCTGGCCCCCTGGCCCCAACCCCTCCTTCTACACCTCTTTTCTTCCCATCTGGGCTCAGTCCTGTACTGCGAGGTGCCTGGTGCACACACTTGTGAGCATCCTTAGCCCACGAGTCCAAGGTCTGCTCATACCTCCCAAGCACTTCTCAATAATACCCAAATCTAGAATAAGAGCCTGACTCTATGAAGAAGGGCAGTCACAAAGATTGGATGGGCAGGGGGAATAGGCAGGGTGAGGAAATGGCCAAAGAAAGATCCTCTGAGGCAACTATATGGATCTGCCTTGTCTGGGCCTGGGAATGGTGAGTTCTGTAATCTCCTCGTCAGCTCAGCTGAGACAACAGACACATTCTGGATGCTCTCTTTGTTATCCTTCACATGCAAGCAGTTAGGGTTTCTATTTTCTTAAAACATAACTTGAATGGATTTCTCTCCACCTGTAGTTCATGCCGTCATCTCCCACCTGGATGACTGCAACAGCCTCAGTCTAACCCAGCTCCCTGCCTCAGTCTTGTCTCCCTCTAGCTGGAATGATGTTTCTGAAGTGAAAACATGATTACTTCCTGTTAGAAACCACAAGTCCAAGCTCCTTAGCATGTCATTTGCAGTCCTTGGTGATCTGACCCCTGATGACCCGCTAGCTGCATTGTTCATCTCTTACTGGCCCCCAACACATGCAAATACACCACACACACACCACATATACTCACACTCACAATATCAGACATACATCATAAACACTCAAACACCCACACAACATACACATTCATACATACCATACACACACTGAAAAACATTCATACACTATCACACACAAAAATACAGTCATATGCACACATTATTCATAGACCACATATTCTCTCAAAGCACACATAGCACATACTCTCACACACACTCATGCACAGCTCACTCACACACATCCATACACACTCATATACACATACACTGCACACCCGAATCATTCACACACCCACACCACACAATCCACATACACACATCACACTACATACTTATGTACCACACATACTCTCACACCACATTCATACACATACTCACACATACATACCCCCACACTCTACATATACCACATACTCCCACACACCGTGCCACACATATTTGTAGAATCTGGGCTTTAACCTCACTGATCTGTTTCTCATTCCTATAATCCCCAGGGCCAGGGCTTCATGCAAGTTGCTCCTTCTCCTGGCATGCTCCTTACCCCATCACAACCAGCTGGTTGGGCTCACCTCCTCCAGAAAGCCTTTCCTAATGCCCAAAGCTTGACCCTTTGGGAGTCGGAAGATCTGAAGTGGTCCAAGGATTCCCTTAAGAATCAAACTTAAGAGGATAAGGCTTGCTTGGTTAGGCTAGAAGTAGGAAACCAGAGTCTAGCATCTTAAACTGTGTGATTTCTTAAATGTTATATCTCCCCAGTGTGTATTATTTTTGTCACTCTGTCTGTTGTCTCAGTGTCATTAGAGGTATAACATTTAAAACCAGGGAGGCCTGCATGCTTGTGATCAATAAGGGGGAATGGAAGACCAGCCTCACGCCACTTTCAGGTTGGATGGCAGGGAACCCAGTGGGTAGGAAGCAGGGAAGTAAAACCGCAGGGGAGTGAGCACACACACAGGCCTGAGGGGCTTTAGCATCCTGCAGGAAAGGCCCAAGTTCTTAGAAACATGTCTAGTTTGAAGTGAGCTAAATTCCAATGACTCCTTGGGCCTGCAGGATCTTCTGAGGGGATCTTCACTTCTAGTAGAGTTTTGAAGCCACACAGTGGGTGAGCTGGCTGAGGGTGGAGGGGCAGAACCTGAACCCTGAGGCTGGGAGCAACAGTGGTTAAGATGAGGCAGAGGGGTGGGTGACCCAGCTTGGGAACTCAGAAAGAGGGGCATGGAAGAGGGTTATCAGTCTCAGATGCCATACAGAGGTGGAGAAGGATGCAGCACTTAGGAGGCCACCTGCCACCTTTCTAGAACAGCAGCATTGGGGTCAATTGCCAAGCTGTAGAGGCTTAAATAGGCAGAGAGCAGAAAGAGCAGAGTCATCCTCTCAGGGAAGGAGGAAGGTTTCATGACTGATGGTGGACAAAGGAGAGGGCCAGGCAGGGAGGGCAAGGCACAAGGCCTGTGACAAGGGGCAGGTTGCTACAGGGGTTGGGGGGTTCTGAGCACACATGGAGAAGTTCACCATGGACCGGAGGGAACATAGCCTTCTCCAGGACAGGAAGGACATTGTAGGGAGGGAAGTGGATGTAACAACCACTGGCATTTCGTCACCTGCTTTTGTTCTTGGTAACCTTCACCAATACACCATGTCAGCCACAGACTGCTGTGGCCACACCCTGGGGCCTTTCTGCCACCAGAATTTCTCCCTCTGATATCTTCAATGCTGACCACTCTCTGCCTACAGCTTTACATTCTTCCAGAACCTCCCTTGTTCCTGTTACCACCATACTCAGCTGTGTGGCCTCTGGTCTCCCAGCCTCTGAATACCCTCCTAGCCTCCATCCCTACACTGCAGGCCTAACCCAAGGATCATCACTTCAACTGTTTTTCTGCAAACACCTGCAATTTCTTTGCCCATTCTTCTGTCTCACTCTACTCTGTAAATCTTCTCCAGCCCCAGGGCTTCTGACACATGTTAACAAATTCCCAAACCTCAAACTTCAGTCCTGGTTTCTCTCTTCAGCTTCTGGACTTGGGTTGTCAATTGCCCACTGGCCATCTCTAACTGGAGAGTGAGGGTGGAGAAAGATGGGGTGCTAATGGTAAGGGATGGGGGTCAGGGGTAGAGAGGCTGAGGGTTAATGACATACTGGACCCAGTAGGGCAGCACATTTGGATTCCAGAACTGGGAAATTCTGTCTTTGGAGCTGCTTAGAAATTCAGTTGAGGGAAGGAGTGTGGGCAGGGGCCCCTACCATCCGGTGAATGGGATTGGGGCATAGTTTTGCCCTTTTATCCTGATGGTCCTGTGTTCTCACACTACTCTCATCTGGTGGGGCCAGTGTCCCCCAACTTTGTTACTGTCTGTGTATTCCCTGTATGACTTCCTGAGACCCCAGCATGCAGAGTCTCTCCCCTCTGGCACAGCCTCACCCTTCCCTCCCCGTTCTCCTTGGACCCAGGACTCTTACAGTTGCTCTGGTGTGAAGGAAGGCCTGCTGCCACCTCGCCAAGCCCGTTGGTAAACCCGCTGATGCCAAGGCCACCCGCCTGATTCTTGATTGCAGACTTGAGCTCGTGATTCTCCCGAATGAGCCGCACTAGCTTCTTTAGTTCCTCATTTTCCCGCACCAGCCTCTCTATCTGATGCCGAAGCCCCTCATAATTGGTGAGTAGAGACATGCCCCGGGGCAGCGGGAAGGGTGCGGCCCACGGGAGAGCACTGCACCTGGAGGCTGCCCAGAGCCCCAGGCCTTGCCCGGGCTGAAGGAGGGCATAGAGCCTGCAAGGCTGGCCCAGTGGGCCCTGGGTATTGTGAGGTCAGAGGCTGGGCCCTCCTCTTTGCCCTCTCTGCTCTAACAGGCTGAGCTCTCTGTGCTTCCTGGTCTGTGCACAGGCCTTGCCTCAACCTGAAATGTCCTGACCCCTTATCTGTCTGGCCAACTTCACTCTCCAGGTGCCTCCTCTGTGAAGCCTCTTCTTGCCCACTGCAAGCTAGTTGGTGCCTGCTGGGCTTCCCCAGAAGATGTGTCCTGTGTCTTAGTACTTTCTCTAGTTTCATACAGTTTGCTCCTTAACACTGTCCACTCACTTTACAGGGAGGGCAGAGATTGTGCCACTCCTTTGAAATCCCCAGCATCCAGCAAAGGGCTTGGCACAGGTAGGTAACCAGTGAATATTTGTTAAATGAAAACTCACCATCCTGCCTTCCTGGCCAGGGTGCCCCTTCTTGCGATCTTAGACATGCCTGGATTTAGCCTGTCAGGATCTGGGGATGCTCTGTCTTGGATGCCTGGATACTGGCCCATGATTTCTTCTGACCCCAAGTGCTCAGAGTCTCTGACTGCTGGCCCAGGAGCTTCTTCCTCTAAGCACCTGGTTCCCTGCAACTTGGAGTTTCCATTTTTGGTGGAAACTCAGGTTTCCTGATTCCAAATCCCCCAGTGATGCCTCCTCTGCACCTGGATCTCTATTCCCCAGCTTCTTGAATTTTCCTGACTTTAGTCCTTCAGGAACCCAAGACCACATTCCTCATCTGGTTCCAAGAACTTGGGACTTTGAATCCTCATGGTGCCCCCTTATCTTAGAGCTATCTACAGAGAACTCCATGGACCTGACCTTGGATATTGAGAGAGGGCTTTTCCTCATGACCTTCACTGGCTCTGTGGGCTTCTGCTCTCAAACCCCTTCACAGGGCAGGGAGAGGATGGTGAAGTCCAGGTACAGGGCAGAGGGCAGACTCCTGGTAGAGGGTGGGGATGAGGAAGGGGCAGAAGATCAGCTGCGATCAGTGTGAGTTGAGCATTCTACCTGGACCTCGCAATGAGGGGCCTGCCCCCACCCCTCCTCTGACGCCCCAGACTATAATTCCAGCTGAGTCACTCTGGCCCCATGGACCAGAGCCCCCAGGGACCAGGGCTGGGGTTTCTTCAGTCACCTCTCTAATAAGCTTATCACGGTATTGTCCCACTGTTAACCTCCCCTTGGGTCGATGCTGTCTGTGATGGTTACATTTTATGTGTCAGTTTCACTAGGTTATGACGTCCAGGTGTTTGATCAAAATATAGTCTAGATGTTGTTGTGAAGGGATTTTGTAGAAGTGACTAACATCTACAAAATGTTGATTTTAAGTAGGTTACCTTCAGTTGTGCGTGGGCCTCATCCATTCAGTGGAAGAACTTAAGAACAAAAAGACCTGAAGTTTTCTGGGGAAGAAGGAATTCTGCCTCAAGACTGTAACATAGAAATCCTGCCTGAGTTTCCAGCCTGCCCTACACATTTCAGACTTGTTGGCCCCCACAATTGTATGAACCAATTCCTTAAAGTAAACCTCTTAATATAAAAGAACTCTGACTGATACACCATCTTTATTTCCCTTTGTACCAATGTTCTTTTCTCCAAAAAAAATATTTTGAGCACGAATTGTATGGCACGCATTGTGTTAGGAATCGGGGATTCAGTGCTAGTCATAACAGGCATTGTCCCTGCCTTATCAGCCTTACGGTCTAGTGGGGAGCAGTCATGCACTGAATGATCCCCTGTGATGAGCGCTGCCTGGGGAAGTCACTGGTGCTGGGAGAGGGTGGATCCAGTCAGTCAGGGCAGCTTTCCCTGAGGAAGTGCTGATTGAAGGGAGGAGTATCAGGCATGGGAAGAGCTTGGAAATCATTAGGGACTGTGCTCCCTGAAGGACGGGAAAGAGTGGTAGAACAGAGAATGAGGGGAGTGGACATATGTGCTGGGGAAGGATGGAAAGCCCAGGACAGGACAGAGCTTATGGCTATGGGACTGATGTTGATCTTCATCCTAAGGCCTTGGGAAGCCCTCAAAGGGCTTTAAGGAAGAGGGTGTGGGAACAGATTGGAGGGGAAAGAGCTGCTGAGTGGTGCATAGTGAGGAGGCAACTGCAGTCAACCAAACAAGTGATGAGGGTGGCTGGTTTGCAGGTAGTGCCCTGGAGAGAGTGGGCAGAGCTGAGAAATGTTTAATGATACCAGATGGACTGGTCTTAGGGATGGCTTGTAAGTGGGGATGAAGGCAAGAGCGAGAGCAGGGATGGCCTTGCCATTTCTGGTGTGGGTGATGGAACAGTTGATTATACCAACCTAATAGGGAAGACTCAGTTTAGAATCAAGATCCTGAGTCAGGTTTGGATGCACTGAGATTAGGATGTCAAGGAGATATGTCAAGGAGGCAGGAAGTTACCGCCCCAGGTCCCAGAGGAGAACTTGCAGTGTGGACTGGAAAGATACACTTTGCAGTCGTCAGCTTCTAGATGGCAATTGAAGTCATGTGAATGGATTAGGTCACACAGGAATCAGTAGTAAGTAAAAGAGAATAGGCCTTAGGCCCATTGTGCCTAGAAGAGCCAGAACAGGTCTGCAGAGGACATAGAGCAGAAGTACCAATAGGAGCGGGTGGAAGACCTGGGAAGGCTGGGCTGGGGAAGCCACAGGCAGAGGATACTTCAAGGCTATGAGAAGCAGCAATGGTATCTAATGCTGCTGAGAGGTCAGATAAGACAAAGACTGAAAAGTGTGCATCAGCTTTAGGGACTCGGAAGTCATTAGGGACATATCAAGGGCTGTTTGGGTAGAGTGATTTGGCCAATTCCAGATTCACAAGCCTGAGAAGTGAGCAGGAAGGTAAAGTGGAGATGGGGCACACACAGTCCTTGGGCCATGTGGCGGGGAGTATGGGCAGGGCTGCTGGCAGATTCTTCCTGCCCTGTTCCCTTCCTCCTCTTGCAGCCTGGAGCCAGGGAAGACTGGTCCTCTCTGCCCGGCCACTGTACCTCTGCTGCCTCCAGCCTCTCTTAGAGTTGCACTGTGCAGTGGAGGTCCTCAAAATACCCAAAGGCTGCCCCAGAACGTTAAGCTGCAGCCTCCTGCTCCTTTCCTTGTACTTACCTCTGCCAGGCTGCATCTGCTCTCTCTACTCTTATTTGCACTTCATTCCAATTTTCTTATCATTATTTCTATTTTGTATATACAGAATATCCTCTGGTATCCAAATCTACTGGGTTTCAGTTTGGGATATAGAGTAGCACAAGTTTGGAGAATGAGATTCATCCAAAAATTTCTCCACATCAATTTGGATCATGTGTTTGGGGTGAGAGTCTGGGAAGTGAGAGACACTGGGCCTCATTACCCTGTCTTCAGTCCTACTCGTTTGAGCTCCTGGACAGCATCACTTCACGGGCCACAGTTCCTGACTGCAGGGAGGTCAGACCCGCAGGACTGACGGGAACCTCCTGGCATCCACTCAGAGTTTGCATTCTTCATGGACTTGTTAGGAAATCGCTGTAAACAACCCTCTGTGTTGTTCCACTTGCTTATGCTGCATCAGATCTCCTCCTTGGGTTTGGATCACTGGCTTTTGTGCAGTTTGTCCCCACGCACATTTGCCTCATTAGATTCAGCCCAGCATTCCAGGTTGGCAAGGCCTCTGGGAATCTTTGCTCCCCTCTTGGCTTTGGATTCTTTGCAAGTTTAACAAGCTTCCTTCTAGAGCCATCTTTTCACGACATAAAGTTGCTGAAGAACAGGGGCCTTTACCCTGGAGCCTTCTGTCCATACTCCTCTCCCTGCTTTTACCACCATTCTCACCCACACGGACAGGCTGTAACACACCGCCCCCATGCTGGATGTGCTGAGAGGCACCTACTGGCAAGGAGCCACATACTGCACGTGGCCAGCGCACATCCTGGCGGTACTGGCCATGTGATCATTTCAATCCTGCCTGCTGTGGTTGTTTTTGACCTCTGGGTCTGCCAGCATGTGGTTAGTCGTGTTGCTGACAGGGAGTTCCTGGGCGGATTTGTCCAGTCATCGCTCCAACAGATTTAGTTGGCCTTTGACTGCCAGCGCCTTCCTGGATGTCAGTGGCAACTCTTCTCTACCCCTCTCCTATACTTCATACAATGAAAGGGCCATGGCTGACACTTACTGAGTGCTTATTGTAGACCAGGCAGTGTTGTGATAGTCCTAACAACACCCTGAGGTGGATAGTACCCCATCCAACAGGTGAGAGCACTGAGGCACAGTCATGTCATGTGCCTAGGCTCCCCTCCCCAGCCCAGGCCCCTGGGTCTTTCAGCAATTTCCCAGCTGCCAAGGTCAGGGCTTGATGCAGGCAACCTAGCCTCTGATCTGCTCTTCTTGCCTCTAGTCTCACCTCTCGTTGCAGTTGCAGTCTCGTTGCAGTCTCTCTCTGCGAGCTGCCAGGGGGAGGGGGGCATCTTTCTGATACCCTGTCAGGTGTAGGCTCTGCCTAGAGGGAAGACTCAGAGTGATATCCCGGGAGAGGACAAGGGCCACAGCATATTCTCCT